CCCTTCTAGCATGCCCACTTCCCCCCACATCTTAGTGTTGACTGCAAATTTGAACAGGGTGCTTTTTACCCCCTCGTCCAAGTCACTAATGAAGATGTTGAACAGTGCGGGCCTGAGGACTGAGCCCTGCAGAACCCCACTGCCCATATCCCTCCAGGTCAAATAAGACCCGTCCACCACCACTCTCTGGGTGCAGCCCTCTAGCCAGTTAGTAACCCATTTACCTCGCATATAAGGAATTTGGGTAGAAAAAGGGTGAACACATACGAGCTAATTCACATATATGGAACCCACATAAATAGAGGGGAACCTGTATAGACAAATAAGATATAGGAAAGCAGGGTCTTGAGGCGATGCAATAAAAACAGATCAACTTAAAAAACAGACTATAACTAGGGACCTACTGATTGGCTGCAAGGGTCACCTGTCATACACTCCACCCCTCACCATCAATTGGTGGAGGGGCAGCCACATAACAAGCAGCCCTCAGCCAGTAAGTGGTGAGGGGCAGGAGTAGGGGCAGCAGCAATCTTGCCAACAGCCCTTTGAGCGGGCAGCCTCCCCAACAGTGGGCTGCACTGTCAGTCTGCAGCACCCTGAAGACTGCTGGCTGCCTCTGGGAAGCCAGCATTTTATTTTGGGTAAGTTCTAGGGCTGTACGAAATTTCAACAGCTGTTTCCTTTTGATACTGTTTCGACTCATTTTGAGGTTGAAATAGCCTCGAAACAAAAAGAGGCTAGTTGAAATGTTTCAACCATAGTGCTGGGCTGACTTGCCATCCCTGGTGCAAGATCCAGCAGAGGCTGCCTGATCCGGCAGGGGGCGCTAGATCGCACCGGGGGGTGGGGAGGCAGCCTGGGCTGACTCCCCATTCTCAGCAAAATGTTGAAACAGCATCAAAACAGCCTTTATCTTTAGACAGAACGGGACGGGACGGAACAGCTTTCTCAAATCGAAATGAAATTCGAAACAGAACACTGTTCAGTCGAACCATTGAAACAAGACGAAATGGAACAGTGCTGTTTTGCATAGCCCTAGTAAGTTCTCCCCCCCACCCACCACAGATTTCATGGGCATTACCCAATGTCAGTAGGCCCTAACAAGAACAGCATCTCATTTCTTACATCAAAAACCCCACTCAGGTATTACTAGTACTTTGATTCAGAACTGACAGCAATCTCACTTAAACTGATCTCAAAACTTTCACTTCTGATGCACTGTGCCAACCCAGTCCTTGTGGGGCATTTTACCAAGATGCTCAGTTGAGCTAAAATTTAGACAATTTATACTACCCTTAGTATGCTGGAGGACTGAACATTATTTTTCCTTACCTGACTGTTATACAGCTCTTCCAAATGTGTTACAGATTTAATTGATTTGGATCTACAAATTTCTTCCTCTGTAAACTTCTGTATATCTGGATGAACCTTCTGAACTCGCCCCAAGCGCAAGAATCCTACTTTGAACCTGGCCAACTTCAGCAAGATGTTGTCTACAGCAGTATGTGTAAAACTAGTCAGCAGAACACTGAAGCCACAGGCATAAAGAATCCGTACCTAATAAAAGAGAGTGGCAAGGACAGAAAAAGAAAAGTCAAGTTGAACAGCAACCAATGATAATTTATCTATATTTTTTCTAAATTGGTACAGATCTAGGATGGAAGATAATACATTTTAGCCCATTTTTAACATGAAATCTTCATATTTTCCCAAGCAGGAAGCAACTGTGACCACCTGAAACCTGAGATCCTGCTCCTGCCTTTGTTTCAAGGTAATTTGAGAGGTTCCATACCAGCTATGAACTGACTACCCAGAGGAGTTTTGAATCTATTGACTCCTCTGCAAAACCCTATGAAATATGAACTTTTGTTTCTACCCAGGAGAACTTTTACAATCTTTTCTCCAATACCTGATGAAGGGCGTTTGTGCCCAAAAGCTTGCAATTGAAGCACTTTTTTTGCAAAAATCTTGTTGGTCTAATAAAATATATCATCTCTACTACGAGTCCTGATTGCCTTTTATAGCTCTACAGAGCATGTGAATCATGTGAGAAGAAAGAATGATTAAGTAAGGCTCTGTCTACCAGTGCAACACAATTTACAAGAAGTAATCAGCATAAGCATAGCACATAACATGAGGAGTTTGTACTCTACAACTGCTTAATATCTTAATGTAAAACCATCAGATTTTCACACTGAACCCACTGTTTATTATTCGCTTCTCCCCAAACCTCGTATCTGATTAAAAATTGCAAAATGTTGATATAGCCTGGGGTAGAGGTGTACCAATATATTAGTTGCTTATCAAATTAGCACCGATTAAAAGGGACATTAATCAGCTATCAGCTTTTTATGGCCATTGTAGCCGATAATGCTTACTAATAATTATGCCTCCTGGACACGGCCCTGGACACCTGGGTCTCTCCCCCCCATGGGGCTGGAGCCCCTTGATTCCTGGGGTCCCTCAGGAAACAGCAGGTTTCCCCTTGCAGGCAGGCAGCATTCCAGGTTGCAAGGGGTCCTCCTTGGGGCTGCCAGGAGCAGGAGGCAAGGGGTTCATGTGAATGTGTGTGGCCACACACATGCACCTGGCAGGAATACAGCCAGACAGAGTGGAGAGCAGCTCCCCACAGGTTAGTCTATGGAGGGGAAGGGGTGAGGTGGGGGCAGATCAAGGCCTATAGCGAGGGAGAGAATGGGGCAACAGCAGGGGCTGGGGACACTGCCCAGCCAGAGTGATGCATGGGATCCAGGGCTGGAGCAAGACAGAGCCACAGGCATCTCATCCACTGAGTATTTGGGGGGGGGGGGGGCAGTTCCCTGCTGCTGCATGCACCCCACAGGGGAGGCATACGTCTCCTCGTATTTGTGCATGGAGCAGATGTGGGCTGTTCACTATGTGCTCAGGGCCCTCCACTCTGCTGCCTTTCCCTTGGGAGCCCTGCACTGGCACACACCCCCTGCCCACCTGGCAGCAAGGGGGGCAGCGAGTTGTGCCTTCCACTGCCAGGCAGGCAAGGGACATGGGGCTTCCAGGGCAAAGGCAGCAGGATAGAGACCCGAGCCCACAGCAAGCAGCCTGCACTTGCCCTCGCCCTGCTCAGCTCTGCTTCAGCCATGGCGGGGAGGGGAGCAGGAAGGAGAGGTGGGCATGCGTCACCCAACCCTCAGCCCAGTTGGGTCCTGCCTTTCCTGGGTCAGGTACATTCAGCCTCCCCCATGGGGCACGAAGGCTTGTCCTGCCCCTGGCAACAGCAGCACCAGAAAAGGAAGGGGCCCTTCCCCACACAAGTCCAGCTCCTGGGACCTGGGGCCTGGCTGCGGGGGAGGAGAGGCCTGGTTTCTCCTGGTCTGGAATAGTTCCATGGCCCTGCCCCGGACAGAGAGCAGAGACCTGGCCCAGAGACCACACAGCCCTGGGCAGCCAGGAAGGCTTACATCTTTCCCCTCAGCCCTGCTGGGCAGGCTCAGGCAATTGCCCCTTGGCATTTTCACATGGGCGCCGGGGGGGGGGGGGGAAACGGTGGCACTTTAGAATTTGAGCAGCTCTGAGAACCGCTCTAATTAAAATGTGTCACATCTCATGCAACAGTGTCCCCATGCTTAAAAAAGGTGGTGGCAGTACTTGAACGAACTCATTCAATGAGCTTTAGTTCAAGCACCCCCACTGCCTTCCTCAGTAAGGACCAGAACTGCCACCTCCCTGCTGGGCCCCTTTCGG